ATAAGTATGGAACATGGAAAACACCATCTGAACAGATTTGGCCATGGTAGCCTCCCAAACAGGAAAGAGTCAGCAGATGGAGCAACAGAAGAAAACCCTGAATTACTCCCAAACAGAGAAAGTGAAAGCAAACCTGAACTTGCCCAGTTGGTCATTCCCAGTTTATCAACCAGGGAATCCCAAGGGCAGGATGAATAAAGGGTGGAGGATCTTCGGTATGGGTTAGGAAACCAGCTGCCTGTGGCTACAGGGCCTGAGCGGTGCTCCCTTCTAACACAGTCTTGCTAGGACACAGGGACTGGGAAGTGGCCAACATTCTGTACAAGGAAAAGGATAGGAGACAAGGTAGATGCTAGAGTAACAGGCAGGGCCCAGATCATGAAAAGCCGTACTTGGAAGGCAAGGCAAAAGACTGATGATGGCAAATGGCCACAGAGAGGGAAGGGCTATGAGTTCACCGGGAGTATCATTCATGAGACAGCCACAAAGAGTGACAAGTGTGGCTGGCATTGCTGAACACACCTATATAATGACAAAGAACCTCATGCTCATAAGATGAGAGGAGGCTGGCGATAGGGCTTTGTCAAGACTTCAGGAAGCTGAGGATGCCAGCCTATAAGAACAACCTGGGGAGGGATAATCTCAGCAGTCTCCAAGATTCCAGGAGCCATACAGCACAGCCAGCTCAGAGAAGGTCCAGTTGAATAAGGGAATGCAAGATGCAGACAGTAAGAGGACACAGTACAGAGCTGCAGTTTCCAATGATTTTTTGAGATGGGGATTTGGGGTGATAACAAAAGCAAAGGGGTGAGCCTGACAATTGGGTGGTTCAAAAGGAATAGGGGTAAATATCACAGTCACTATAGTTAAGGAGGCCAGGGATTCTAGAGGGAGTCATCTGAAAGGAAGTGGGGAGATGGCTCAGTAGAATAAGCACTTCCCTGGGAAGCGCAAGGGCCTGAGTTCAACCCCCAGTTCCGCAAAAAAAAAGAAAAAAAAAAAAAAAGAAAAAGAAAGGAAATGGCTGGCATAAATGTTAACAGAGAACAGAGGTTTTTACATCTTTGACAAATGGGACTGGGTCAATTCAAGTAGCCATGTACAAAGGAACAAAAAAAGTGAGACATCATAACCTTCAACATAGCAACACCACTACCACTAAAAAAAGAAAAATGAGAATAACTCACCTGGTTTATGTAAAGACAGAGATTATATAGAATCAAGATATTGACAGTTATCTCAAGAAAAGGCCTTATAACAATTATAGAGATGGAAACAATGAAGGTCTTTATTTTTTTCCTTCTAAAAAACATGCCGGCTACAAATCTGTACAATAAACCTTCACAAAAGTTGTCATCTTTAATAATTAGTGCAATTCTAATTTCTCTGTGGTGCTTCCTCTCCCCTCCAAATCCACACCAAGCAGACAATTGTCTTCTTCTACACTGCAGACCCACAGGCTCCTGCAGAGGTGCATCTGCAAACCAGGGAGCACACATACTGAGAGTTTGTGACAGCAATGGAATCTGCTCCATAGCTACAGAAACAGATGGCTTCAATCACATCAGCTGATATTTGTGATTACTGCTATTATTTCCCATAATTGCCCTTCTGAGATCTGCTCATCTACATCATGCTGAGCACTTAAAATTAGCCAATGAAAGATTTGGATCTGAGCTAGCCAAAAAAAAAAAAAAAAATTGAGGCCCATGTGATGGAATGTATATATAGCAATTCTCTTATCATAATGCTGAGCATACAGATGGGTTTTTCAAGAGATGTCTTTTTAAAATTAGATGGAATGTATTCATTTCTGTTGAGGCATTCAATCACATTGGACAACTCTACAAATATGCTGTGGTTTTTTTTAAAAAAAAAAGGGAGATGGACAGAGGCAAAGCCATTCTCTCAAATCAGAGACTTGGTCTTAGCAGCAGGTTGGCTGCCTGGAGAAATCCTTGAGAATGCCTCCTGTGAGCATCGCTGTGAGCGTCTAGAAGTATAGAGCTTTGAAAACAGATCTTCTTCCCCCTTTACTTTTCCTTGTCAAGACACATAAAGGAATTCAAGTGAGCCAACTGGTTAACTAAGATAGGCCCAACCTGAGTTCAGAGAGCTTTCTGATGCTTCCCACCTGCCTTTCCAAAAAACAAAGTTTCCAGGTTGTAACGACAGCAAAGAGAATAGCCATAGAGTAGCAGGAATGGCTTATCATGGAAAGTCAACCCTACACTGAAAGCACCGTTACTTTTAACACATAAGACCTAATGTAGTTATGTAGTTATGACTTAATGTAGTTATGCTCTCTTCCCTTTCTCCCTCCCCAGCCCCAATCTGTTTATCCTGAGAAAAGCAGCCACCGGCAATAAGACACGAAGCAGGCAGCCCCAGAGGGTCTTCATAATCTGGCCCCAGTGCATCCGTCCCAGGTTGCTGCCCAGTGGGTCTTCTCCATCCAGCAGATTGAACATCTCATGGCATCACATTTCTGTCCTCTCCTACGCCAAGTGGGTCATCCCCAAGACACACAGCCTGTGAGCATGCCTGCCTCTGCTTACACTGCTACCCCACCTGCAAACCACCAAAGAGTCCAGTTCATGTCTCTACTCATTTTCTTTCTTGCTTATTCCTTCCACTTCCTGTCAAACTGCAGACAGAGAACAATGATCCTGTGGTTGGTATCATCTGTGATAATGCACCAGAGTCAGAGCTGGAAGATTCTAAAGTGTCTTCTGAGCTCCAGGCACCATGTTATCAATGACACTGAGAAAGGCAGTCTACTCATGATAGCAGTGGACTTATTGTCTAATATTACACAATTTCTGTAGTTCTGTGGCTTTATGTCTGCTCCCATAAGATCTTCAGACGTAAAAGAAAGTTTGCTGCAATTATACAGAGAAAGGGCCACACTAGGCCAGATAATTACAGTCTCCCACAGCACCATGGTACTGAGAAGTGAACTCAGTACATCCCCAGCCCCTTATTTTTTATTTTGAGAGGTTTCGTGAATTTGTCCAGGCTTGCTTCAAACCTGCCATCGTCCTCCTTCAGCAGCTGAAGTTACCTAATGTGACACCCACCCAGCCACCATGGTCATTCTTGAGTGTTCCCTAACGCTGACCTTCCTTCACTATGCTGGTCTACTTGGCCCCAAAAGACCATTTCAAGGATGGCCCCAGGAATGGCAGATTTCCTAGAGTATCTCATAGGTATACGTCATCTATAAACCAGTTACTCATTCGCTTGCAATTGAAGACATTCCTTCCTGCACAGAAATGTCATTCCCCAGCTTCCACCAGGCACTTCCTTCTGCATTCGGGACAGGAAGAAGCTGAAGTACCTTCTAGGACCTCATGCAGTGAACATCCAATCAGAACCTTCCCTTCTTTCTTTCCCTAGGTTAAAAAGGGCCCTGGTTAAGACCTGCTTAGGCCCTCCACTAGCCTAGCTAGGGCGAGTCATCCTCAGGCAAGTTCTCAGCTGTTCTAGCCCGCGGTCTCCCCAATTGTACCAAATGGTACTGGTACCCATAGGATTGCGACATAAAGTGCTTGGAGCAGCCAGCGACACCAGGTGAGTATTTACTCTGTGCTGGCTTTTATGATTTTTATTTTCATCTTTCCTCTGATAATTTGGAAACATTTCCATGATAATGTAACAGCCCTAATGGAATAATGGATCTCATATTGATACTTCTTTTAACCTCTGAAACACCATTCTAAATCCAGGAGCACCAAGAAACTTCTCCCTTAGGACGGCTGCCCTGTGAAACAGCCTGGAGTTGCTTGGACCTCTCTTCTACTAGTTTAACATGCTCTCTGTTCTCTTCCTTTCCTCTCCTCCCTCCCCCTCCTTCCCTGCTCCCCACAGCAAGTGGAACCCTTAGAACTTCGCGGGCCTCTCCGCGAAGTTCTACGTGCCGTCCGGGCTACGCTGCGATTCCTCTGCATCTCCTCCCCTCAGCCCTGACGCCCCCAACCTCCGCGGGTGTAGCGGGGTTGACCGCGGGTGGGGTGGGGCTTGGAGAGTTCGCCCCGCCTCCAGGGCCGCGGCTGGGGCGCGTTGAGGTGAAGCCTGCGTTTCTGGGGGCTGATCCATTTTCCCCGAAAGACCTGCGTGTGAAAGGTTTTGCTACCTTCACCTGTTTTGTTTTGATTGGTTCTTTTGCTTTCAATAAGAAAGGAGTAGCTACACCTGCCTGCGTTTTATTGGATAAAAGCGTGAAGGGCTATTTCAGCTCCTGGCTCCCGGAGCTCGCGGGTTCCCGGGTGCGGGAAGGCGGCCCGGGCCTGGAGGAGCGGCGGGGCAGGGCGAGACGGCTCTCTTCTTCTCTCCAACAGGTGGAGCGGGGCGCCCTGCCTGTCCCCCCACCCCCCAGGAGCTATACTGGAGGACTGCCTGCTGCCCTGCGGAGGCCTGGGAGTGGGCCTAGACTTTCTTTCCCTGCGCCAGCCCAAACACCCTGACCTCTCCCTCCTTTAGCACTACAGGATTTAAAGCCACCAAAACCATTCCCACCAAAGTCTGGAAAAAGAGGGAGTAGGGGGCAAAGCGCGCACTCGTGGTGGGGGGGGGTAGGGAGTGTGGGGGGGGGGGGGGGGGAGTGTTGTTTCTCCTGGGCTGGCTGCCATGAGTGAGGGGGGGTGGGGTCGTGGTGGGGGGGGGGGGGGGGACGCGGGGGGGCAGTATTCAACATTTAGTACCTTCACAGGTACGAAAACCTCTGGGTAGGCAGACTGACCTCCGCGGCCGGGGCGGAAGCTTCCACGGTGTCCTCGGGGAGCACATTCCAGAGAGTGAATAAAGTGTCAAGGGATGCTGGACGCAGGTCCTAGAAATGACAGCGATTCCGTAGGATGAGGCAGTTGTTTATAGCCCTCCCACGACGCCACAGGGCCCCACAGTCTCCCCGGTGCAGGCTGAGTCCCGGTGTGAGCTTCCTCCCCGCCACCCCTAACCCCACCCCCACCCCCAACACACACACAGATCCTGCTGGAAAAGCTGAAGCAGCAGTGACTAGCCCAGGGACACACACCAGGCTTGAGACGGAAATAACTCTGACGACTCCTCCTCGGCCCTAACAGAGACAACACTGCCCTATTACCGCACTACCATTCAAATCTGAATCACTTAAAATGCTCCTAATTGCAGACCTGAGGGCAACTGTAAGAACCGTGTGACTCTAACTGCCAAGGAGCCCAGGTACGAATGACCAAAGTTTTGCAAATGCTTGGACATGGAATTAAAATGCTGGGGGTGAGGCGTGTTTGATAATGACTCTAACACCGCCGCCAAGTGCCAAATTTAGATTTTTAAGAGCTGAATATGACCAATCACCTCCAGCTTGCCGCGGTACTGGACAGAGCTCCAATTGGGATTGAAAGAATGCCACTGAAAAAGGCATTTGGGCTAAACCTCAGATATTTCTAAGCAGTGAATCTTCGTACCTATTCTTTTTTGTGTCCATTCAAGTACTGTCTTGCTTCTGTGTTTAAATTTGCCTTTTAACTCCGATGTTGGCACCTGTGGGAGCTGGGGGGCGTGGGCTGGGAAACCACTGGGCTAATTTAAGTTCAAATCTTACACGGGGCTGGACAGGCGCTATGCTTGGGAAAGAAAGTAAATTCCATCTAGCAAATTGCTCCAACTGATTCATTTGTCCTCAGGCTCCGCCTACCTCTTGCAGGTATCCAGGTAAATGACAAGTGGGCGGGACCTACTGACTGTTCCATCGCTAAGGTCTCAGCAATGCTTTATCTGCCCAGGCTCCCATGCTGTCACACATTTCCTGCTCTGGACCAACCAATGCCCTTCTCCCTCCAGGCGCTTGTCCACCGAACTTGATTCTAGTCACTGCTCAGGTTGCCCAACAGTCTGCTTCGTTCAGTCGCGAGGGAAGAGAGCTGCCTGGTTGCTGCTGCTTTGAGAGACCTTTGAGAAGGTGAGCTGAAACTCCATTTTCCTCTCAGCATTTAGGCCACTGGCCCCGAAGGGAGCTGATCGAGGAATCTGAATGAGGAATACAAGCCAAAGGGCGCAGCCCTCAGCAAAGCTCTTTAGCAGAGAAAGAGTGGAGGTTGTCTTTGACACACTAGTTGTACAGTAAAGTTCTCCCAGCCTGGATATTTTATCCTTTTTGTTTCCTAACAAAATTGTTAATCCAGTCTCTGTTGATCTGATTTTGTAAAACTCTGGAGAGAGAGAAGTGAAGCGGAGGGTTTTTGAAATGTATTGCAAAGAGGTAGACCTGTTCAGCCTGTTTAATGGGACCTGGAGGTCGTAGGGCAAACAGAATTCAGAGTTGTCCTACATTTGCCTGTGGTGTTTTCAGTTTTGTCTGAGCCTTCTTTTGCTTCCCTTTAATGTGTTCATCTCCTCAGGGGTGATTTTGACTAAAACCTGTGCAACATTGTAGTTTTTTTCTTCAGAAAATCTGTTCCTCACACAGGTAAATGCTGCTGCCCCCTCCCCATTTCCTTTCTTCTCTCATGGCTGAAAAAGTCTACATAGTCTTTGCTCCTTGTTGCCCACCCTTTCACATACATTTTGCAGCCTGACTGGAATTCTTTACCATCAGGCCCAGTGTGGCTGCCTGGTGACCTTTGGTTAAAGCAAAGATGACTCCTTCAAGCCATAAAGGAAGAACTACAGGCAGTTACATTTTCAAACTAATTTTCTGAAACTCTTTTGGTCTGTTTTTAATAACAAATATATGCCAAAGAGATTGTTCTGCCAGGACATGACCTGCTGTTTTACCTGTCAGACTGCTCAGCCTGGGCTGCTTCTGTTCTTAATGACCCAGCAGCCACAATACTGGTGTTAGCAAAAGCAAAAAAGAAGTTATATTTGCTACTGGAGTGAACTGGAAAACCTACTGAGAAAAAACATGAGGCAATTTATTCTGGACTCTTTCATTAGCTGGAGTTTTATCCCCCCTGACATTTAAATTAGCAGTTAAAATTATAAGGAAATAGTCTGTTAAGAATTATGTTCCTAGTTATCTATATCAAAGTACCAAGAGACTGAATTAAAACAAGCTGAAGAAACCTTTACCTTAGACAAAAAGTTGTTTGTTACTATCAAGAAACTGTCTTACTCTTTTTTTTTTCGTTTGTTTGTTTAATGTATTTGGTTGTTACAGGGTCTCACTGCGCAGCTCAGACTCATGATGATCCTCCTGCTTTCAGCCTCCCCTGCGCTGAGATTACAGGCATGCACTACTATGCCCAGACTCTGGTCAGCTCAGCCTGCCCTGGGGGCAGGGCTGGCGCGGTATGTGGTGCCGAGGATTGAACTGCGGTCCCTGTGCTTGCCTAAGCAGGTGCTTTAGTCTGCTGAGCTATCTTGCCAACCCACTGCCTTCCTCTTGTTTCCTGTTTTCCTCTTGCTCCTGGGAAGCTCATAACATTCTCCTTTGTAACCTTTATATTTATATTTTCTCCTGAGCACATATCTTTGGAGGAAGTGACTGCTGCTTATACCATAATATCATTTTCACTTGATACAAAGCTCTGTCAGATCTAGATACTGAATCATCTAGATAAAATTATGTCCATGGAGTCCAGACTTCACAAAATTGTATTTTCTCTGGGTTACTATAGGCTGATTAGTTCCTTACATAATAGTTAATTTATGATTAAATTAATTTAGTCTGTTGAAAGAACAAAGCTGTGGACATATACTCCATAATATAAGAAAAAAAAATCAGACTAGAATTCAGATTGAGAGTGTCTAGAATGTAGCTGGTTTGTTGGATAACTGGTCCAGGAGTGCCATCCATTGTTCTTTGGTAACTCCCTGCCCTGGTTCTAGTGGACATAGAGCTGAAGGAAAAGTGCAAAATCTCTTCCACTTACATCCTCGAGCATGTTATTTATCTCGGACCCTTCATCAACAGGACAAGAGTTAGTAATCCTTATAATGTAATCTTGAGAAGTAAAGGAGGTGCCTAGTGTATGTAGTATTAAGTAGCCAGGGCCTGATGACAGTGCAGGGCCACATACAGCCCAGGCCCATCTTTTATATAGGACCTTTCATGGGTGACTTCAATGGGAGGATGTGGTCTGGGCCTATGGAGATAAAAGATCTGCGGCTGCACTTGCTCAGAACCTTGCTTGTTCTTGTAATTGAAATTGCTAACCATTTGGAAAAAGAAAACAGGAGGAAGGAGATAATACTTAAAGGCTGTGACATCATTAAAGGAGCCAGGCATCCATGTCCCCACTGCCTTGCAAGCAAAGCCTTTGGGAAGTTGAATATTCCTTTTTTCCCTACCTCCAGGCCTTCAGGGGAAATGTCCTGTTATTTGTAGTAATCTGACTTGGCAGGCAGCCCTGTCTTCATTTCTTCTATCTGCAGATTGGATTGGGTACTTGGTTGCTCCATTCTTATAGAGAAGGCATGATTTACCCCAGTCTGGGCATGCAGATGGTCAGGCCACTGGTGGAGTTTGGGTCTTCCGCTATACCCTGGAAGGAAGGCTCATGGGCACATTCAGTATGTTGGCCTACTTAGCAGAATATCCCATTCAGCAACTTTGCTCACTGCACAAAAGCAAGTATGTTTGTAGGCCCTGGTAGCTTCTTCTGGCTTCATCTTATCCCCAAGGGATAACACAAAATTTCATCATCCAAAAGCCAGCAACTAATGGATTGAGGATAAGAGGTTCTAACCTGAAACCTGCTGCTAACTTAACTAGGGGATTCTGGGAAAGAATCTCAACCTCCCCACTCGGCCCTTTAGTTTCCTTGTCTACATTCTCTAGCCACCCCTCAAAGAATGCTAAAAAGGTATACTTTACAGCTCCCCCTCTGTCCTGGAGACAGATGCGAGATGGGGTGCTCACCAAAGTGAGTGGCTCCCTAGGGAGCTCTAATCTTAGCCACTGAGCTCTAGGGGGAGCAGTGCTGCTACTCTAGAATAGTGGTCTGGCCTCTGCCATCTAACTACCTGGGTTCAAAACTCAGTTCCGCCAGGTGCTTCCTGTATGTCCTGGGACAGGGTCTTTAACCTGCTTTACTCAGTGCTAAATAGGATCGGCATAAAGATGACCTTAACCTGAAATATGTGAAATGTGTAGACGGGTAAGTTGGCATACAGTTAGTGTTATTTTCCTGAAAGGAAGACATGGTGGGTGAAACAGGCTGATCTGGTTTAAGGCCTACCTCTGCCACGTAACTGCAAATCTACAGAAGTCACTTAAAATTGCTTTGCCTCAGTTTGGTTATCTAAAAATCGGAATACTTACCCAGCTCAGCGCTGTTGTGACTAGCAGTTAAATTGGAGAAATGTGAAGTGGCTGGTATATAATAAGTGTTCAATAAGTGCTAACTGATACTATTACAGAAAAAAAATTGTGTGTCATCTATAGTTAGACTTTTGTCATACAGTAGCATGGATATAATGATGGGAACAGTAGTGGGTGGAGGGCCAAAAACTCTAAACAAAACAGATTTCCAGAAAGCTGGAAGGAAAACTTGCTAACACCGATTACCTTGTGTATCTTGGCATTCTAGGCCAGGACAGCTGCCAGGGTGTTTCCCGGCTTTTACAGGACTGTGGGCAGTGGGAGTCTGTGTGTGAGGAGCGTGGATCTCTGGGAGCTGTGGTTCTAGCTTCATTCTTCAGTCTCCTATTCTCCCTGACTCAATCTCCTTTTTACATTTGAAATCCTTACATAAGGTGGAGAAAATAAGTGGCCTCCTGGGAGTTTGGCCTCTTGCAAGGCTATCCGTGAGATTCTGCCAAGACAGGCCATGCGAGGAGGTTCTCAGATGGGCCTCCCTCACTTCCTGGGTATTCCTGGACTTCTTGGTATTACAGAGCTATTCTTAGTGTTTATGTGTTGGTGTTGCATAGACTCACTTTTATGTGGGTAGAGAATTTTATTGTCCTCTGACGGTGTCTCCAAACTATCAAGGGCTTTACAAAACTATCTGGAGGAAGACTGGCTGTGGTCACCCTTTTAGGGTTAATGAGATTTGACCATCTACTATCCCAAAAGAATAGGACATGAAAGTTGCAAGTACAGAAGACTGTTCTGAGTTGAAATCAAGAACACAAATTGTGGTTAAGTCCTACAGACTTCCTACATTTGCCATCTCTTCCTATCTCATTGCTTTTTGTGTGACACAAGGATACCACCATGGCTGTTGATTAGTTACTCAGAGGCACACTTCCAATTAATATGAGGAAGAACTTTCCATGAATTAGAGTTGTCAGAACATGCAGGAGACTGTCCATTGGGTTGAGGAGTTCCTTATTACTGATGTGGCTATTTCTTGGTATATTTTCTGCCTGGTTTATGTTTCCCAGATGGATAGGTGGGTCATTGGGTGGGTGGATGAATGAGTGAATGGATGGATGGGTGGATGGATGACGAGGGTATTTGTGTGTTTTCAGCAGCACATATACTCCTCAATAAAATGAGGGCTATCTTATGGCTCTCACTGGATTATTTTAGAGATTAAATGAAGAAAATGCATGTCAAGTACCCACCATCCTATCTTACAAACTACTCATTGAAGGTAATAATTATTTTATTTTATATTATATTTTAAGTAGGAAATGAGAAGAAGAATTCCTGCTCCAAACAACCTCCAAAATTTAGATCTGCAGTGTTTCTGACAGTTCCTTTTTCCTAAGCTCTTCACTCCTGCTCATCTTTTGCTACCTTTCTAAAAGCACTCGCTGCTCTTACCCAGAAAGCCACATTCCCTAACATGGGAATGAGTAGTACACTAACAGTGAGCACAGCTTCTATCCCCATGAAATAGGGACCTGATTTCTTAACATTAAAAGTCCAACTTGCAACACACAGACTTAAATTCCATGATCAACTCTATCTGCCTCTTGCATTTGATCATTTGCCACAGGAGCACAACCAACAGCAGAGTGGGAACTCTTTGGGAATTTTCTTTAATAGCCTCTTGGCACAGAGCA